TCAACTATACGGATCCACAAACCATACATGTGGAGTTACAAAGCTAAAGGCATGAGGATTGGGCCTCCAATTGGATGTACGGATGCAGAAACCGTACATGTGGGGTTATGGAACCAAAGGCATGAGGATTGGGCCTCCAATCGGCTGTTTGGATGCACAAACCGTACATGTGAGGTTACAGATAAAAAGACATGAGGATTGGGACTTCAATCAAATGTACTGATGCAGAAACCGTACATGTGGGGTCACAGATCGAAAGACATGAGGATTGGGACTCCATTGCGACTGTGCGAATACACACATCGTACATGTGGGGTTACACAGCCAAATGCATGAGGATTGGGCCTCCAATCGACTGTATGGATACATAAACCATACATGTGGGGTTACAGAGCCAAAGGAAGGAGGACTATGCCTCCAATCAACTGCACGGATACAAAAACCATACATGTGCGGTTAAAGAGCCAAAGGCATGAGGATTGGGCCTCCAATCGACTGTACTAATGCACAAATTGTACATGTGGGGTCACAGATCAAAAGACATAAGGATTGGGACTCCAATCATATGTACGAATGCACAAACCATACATATGGGGTTACAGGGCCAAAGGCATGAGGATTGGGCCTCCAATCGGATGTACGGATGCACAAACCATACATGTGGGGTTACAGAGCCAAAGGAATGAGGATTGGGCCTCCAATTAACACTACGGATGATCAAACCGTACATGTGGAGTTACAAAGCTGAAGGCATGAGGATTGGACCTCCAATCGACTATATTGACGCACAAACCGTACATATGGGGTTATAGATTGAAAGACACGAGGATTGGTACTCCAATCAACTCTATGAATGCACAAACTGTGATGAGAATCATGTAGCCTTCCATGGAGGTTCTCCTAGTGAGGGGAATGAGCTAGTCCTTCATTTTAGTTTTGGAATGCCAAGTTTACTTTGCAGGCCAATCAAGGAAGAAAGGATGGATCTTGACTACCTATGTGATAGGGAGTTGGTTCAAAAGAGCTATGATCAAGGTGATGAGAATATCATTAACTTGGGGGTTCAAACCAAAGGAGATGAAGACCTCATGGAAATAAGTGCTGAAGAGTATCAAGAGAGTTTGACTCTGTGTGCTCCATGAAGATCATTGATCAAACTACTGAGAAGAGTCATTTAGGTTCTTGAGTGGACGGCCTATTTGATCAAAGTGTTCAAGATTGAGTCCATTGCTACACAATTGGATAGGTTGCAAACTATCTTAATTGTTTCAAGTGTTTTTCCAATCTTTTGGAGTCAATAAAGAGAATTCTACAAGTTTTGGAGTAAATTGGTGTTTTCTACAACTTGAGGGGCGCAAGACCAATATTTCACTTTTGGAAGGGCGTTCAAGACATTTTACTTCAATAATTTAGAGCTAAATTTCGAGATTAGAGTTAGTCTAGGAATCAATTTTTGAATTTTTATCTAGTTAAATAAGTCATGTGGACTGAATTAAACTAGAGTGTTTTGATTAGGAGTCTTAGATTCCTTCTAGATATTATCCTACTTGAGGATAAGTCATTTAGATAAGGTTTCTTAGATTTTAGATAGAGTCAAAGAGATCAAGTACTCTTCTGCTTTTACTCCTTGTGAGATAAGATTAGAGAGTCTTAATTGGTCTTCCTTTTAGTGGTGCTGGCCGAAAATTCAAGCCTATATATAGGAGGCTTGGCCGAATTTCTTAAGCACCCTTGAGTGGTCATTTTTGTTGTCTCTTTTGAGAGTTTTTCCTGTGAGGAATTTTTGTTAAATGGAGTGTCCATTTTTAGTGTCAAGTATGATTAAACCAAGAGGGTTTTCATCTTGTCTTGGATCCTTTTGATCTTGCAGAAACCGTTCTTTTTCAAGTATGCTTCTTGATAGAATTGTTTTAAAACAAATCTTCTTATTTTCATACTACTTCTAGTAGTTCGATTGATGAGCCTTTCCTTTGGCTTGGTGTTCGAATTTCATGATGAGTGTGTTCATGAGATCCATTGTGGGGTTTGTCCTACTTTTGTTGGATGAGTTGTACTTTGGCATAAGCATTTTGAGATAGTGTATGTGTTGCATATCTTTGGTTGGTTATAAAGATTACTAATCAATAGTATTCCTTCATAGTTGGGCATTGTTTGCTCCTGCCTTTCTTGAGTCTCTTGATAGATGACTGATCGAGTATATTGAATGGTGTCCTTGCTATTCTTAGCGTGGGTTGTTGTTTCATTCAAATCTTTTATGGATAATGTGTTCTTTGCTTGGTTTAAGTTAAGAGATAGAATCACTTAGATTAACGATCGTCTTACTGTGAATTTTCCGCACTCTTTTGAGTTTCACGGGATAGACAAAATTATCTTCGTACTTTCTTGTTGATGGTTGCATTAACGAAATTTGCTTCGTCTACGAGATTGCTATCAGTTTCTTGGTATTAGAGCTTGGATTATCTTAGTGACGGTATTAATTGATATTGTCATATCAATTCCTATTATCAGTTTGATTTTCGAGAGATTTGTTCTTAGTTGAGGACTTCATAGTTGGTTTTGAGAATATCTTCAATTACCACGGAATCCGTTACTTGGTGTGGTGATCAAGCTTTGTGCTACTTAACGAGTAGTACTATCTTTATTTGTTTCAATGTTCCTTCTTGTTTTGGAATGGGGTGTTGAAAAAATAAATCAAATTCTTGTGAAAACTACGTTTTCAAAATTGATCTTGTCTTTTGTGTGGTTGTGCGAGACTTCTTACACATTTGTTTGATCTTGTGGTGTTATTTTGAGGTCTATGCGAGAGCTTGATGATGGTACGTTGGTATGTAATCAAAGTGGGCGCTACATCTTGAAATTTATCCTTGATTTGCAAGTAGGGAACTATTTCTCCTATGAGCAAGTTGGTGGATCTCATGTGTTGGATCTTTAAAGAGAGAATTGATGCCAAAGAAGAGCTTCTTGCTCGAGATAGCCTTTTCTTTATAAAGAGATGTCTTTACATAAGGAGGATTTGAGAGTTTATCTTGTGGTAAATATCTTAGATCTATTCTTTGAAAGGTGAAGCTTAGTGATTTTGTACTTTCTACATAAAGTACAAATGAAAAAGCCTTCCTTCTTGTTGGTTTCATTTGAATCTAATGAGTAAAATGGAATTTATGGATTTTCAACTCATGAAAATTTCATAGAGACCGAATTTTGTTTAATCTTAGTGTCAAAAGACTTTTCAAAAGTAACAAATGTTGGTTTCCTTGTTTTCTCGAGTTTTACACTTTGAGTTTGAGTCAAAACCTTCCTTGTCATGTGATGCGGAATGAATTTTAGTGATATCAGTTTTGGTATCAAAGTGTTTTAAGGTCTTTGAAGTTGAATTGTGCCAACTTTAAGGATTGAAGTCTTTGACTTGTGTTTTAAAACCTTGATTTTCGAGAGTATGATCGAAAATTGAGTGAAGTTTTACTAAAAAAGATTTTCTTAATTTATGACAAGAAATCTTATAGGCTTTAAGATGTATTCTTAAAGTTTACATATTTGGTTGTTGGAAAAGTTGATTTTCAATGGTCACTTATGAAGATGGCATTGTTAAGTGATTGAGTTTTCAGAATGATTTGTGTTAAATTTAGTATTATGAAGCAAATGTCATAATTGAATAAGGAACTTTAATTTCCTACTTCATTATAATTATGGTGTTCTTATTACTTTATTTGCCATGGATTGTTTTGGTAAAAAGTGATTTTTGTTAATTCCAAGTACAATTTGGAAAAGGTTTTAGAAAGATTCTAAAAGTTGTTGTCCATTTTTGGAAAGTGGTAATTTTCCAGTTTCCTTTTTAAGTGAGTCAAAAGTAATTTTTCAAATTTTAACTGTGGTAAAAGGTTAATAGCCGAATTTTTGCTGACTTTTTACATGTGTGTGCGTGTGATTTATGTGGTATTCTAAGCCTAGTTGGTTTTGAATTTTAGAGTCATAGTATAGCCGAAATTGTGAAGCTAAAAATTAGGGTTTCCTAGACCTAGTTGAACTTGAATTTTGGTTGTCTATTTGTGTTACACTTGGAGACCTATTTGGTCTTGTATTTGTGTGTTCACATGGCCGAAAATTTTAGCCCTAAAATTAAGGTCATTGAGTCCAAATTGTGTTATGATTTGAGTCCTATTGGGTTTTGGATTTTTGTGTTCACATTGGCCAAAAATTTGCAGCCATTGTTTCCTAATTGTAATACAATTTTATTGTGTGTTTTATTTAAGTCCTATTTGGATTTAAATACTAATTTTTGCATGTGTTAAATTATAATTTCAGTGAGATTATAATTAGAGTTTTAAAGTGAGTCTATTTTCGAAAACTATTAAGATAAGATAGTCTTATCCTAATCTGAAAATTTTTTAGTCTTCTAATACAATTGTTCATGTGTGAGGCCGTGTATTTGAGTCCTTTTAGTAGTAGGGGGGGTCGAAAATTTTATCTCTAATAAGTAGGGATGAGTTTTCCTAATTTGTGTCCAAAAAGGATTATGTTTACCTAAGTTTCAGGACTCTATCTTTGTCTATATATATGAGACCGGTTTTTCTTCTTCTTTATTCCACATTGTCGAGCAGCCTTCATCATTAAAAGGGGGGGAATATTTTTGAGAAAATTTAGGTCCTATCTTGTAGGAGTTTTCTTGCACAAAAAGACTTGCATTGCCTATAAATAGGGGTGCTGTTTTTCGAAAATTCTCACATCACTCTACTCCAATCTTCTTCTTCTTTCTTGCTGCCGAGATCAAAAGAGAAAAGAACAAGAGAAGCACTCTTCTCTTTAATTCAGAAATTTTGAGAGTTGTGTTCTTAAAAGCACAAGAGAGTTTTTGTTTTTGGGGAGAGCTTTATTCGAACCTTCCTTTGGTTCTTGGGGGGTTTCGGCCGAACCAAACTTTGGTTCTAGGGTTCAAGGAGTTTTTGTGTAGTAAACAAGGCACATTACTTCTTTTGTTAGTGGTTTCTCAGAGTTGTTGAGCAAAGATGTCATCCGGAGTTGCTGGTTGTACTCCAATCGCTTCAAAGAGTGTAGAGGGTCGCATGGAGGCTCAAGTACAGCTCATGAAGAGTCAAATTGACTTCCTACATGATGCTTTGGCCGAGGTTAAGGAGGCAAACCGAGACTTGTCTCAATTGCTTTCAAATCAGCAAGATAAAGCTATGTGAAGTTGCTCAATTGTAAGCAGAATGGTAGATCCATTCAATCTTACTTTGAGGATTTAGAAGGGTTGTTTCTGAGTTTAGAAGTGGATGAGAACGACTACATGTTGACAGACCGTTTCCACTATGGCTTGGACAAGTGGTTCAAACAACACCCAAAGATAAGGAGACAATCAAGGCTCTATGAGGCATACTATGCTGCCTTAGAAGTGGAAAGAGAGCATGATACTTCTTGTGGTTGGAATGGTTCAATTGAGGATCAGGGGTTGGTGTTTGGCGCTGAAGATGGAGATCAACGGACATGTATCTTCCGTACTAAGTCTTCGGTTGGGTGGTCCAATGAAGTTGATTTGGTAATCGACGGTGGGTCGAGTACTGATTGCGTAAGTGAGGAATTTTGCATAGCAAACGGAATTAAGATGGATCCGCATACTAGACCATACAAGCTTCAATAGTTGAGTGAAGAGATGGTTGTGGATGTTACTAAAAAGGCCATGGTACCTTTTCAGATTGGTGAGTATAGGGATGAAATTTACTTTGATATAATTCCTATGTCTCTTTGTGATATTTTGCTAGGGAGGCCTTGGCAGTCAGATGTAGATGCTGTGCACCATTGCTCGAAGAATATCTTTGTCTTTACTAAAGAGGACCGAAAATACATTCTTAAGTCTTTGGCTTATGAAGAATCTGAATCTGTGTGAGAGAAAAGACGTAAGATAACCTATACACAAAGGAGAGAAAAAGTCGAGCGAGTGACGCAAGAAAGTAAAAAGGGTCACGATGAGGTAAGACTTGAGGCGAGAGAAAACCATGAAAATAGCGTGGAAACAGAAAAAAATGCACGCAGTCAGAGAAAATCAGAGTGTGGTGAGGGTGAGGATTTTACTAACCCTTATATCTCGTTTGTTCCTTGTGCAGGTAAAGAGGTTGATAATTCGAGGACGAATCCTCTTAAAGAAGGAGGGGATGATGAGAATCATGTAGCCTTCCATGGAGGTTCTCCTAGTGAGGGGAATGAGCTAGTCCTTCATTCTAGTTTTGGAATGCTAAGTTTACTTTGCAGGCCAATCAAGGAAGAAAGGATGGATCTTGACTACCTATGTGATAGGGAGTTGGTTCAAGAGAGCTATGATCAAGGTGATGAGAATGTCATTAACTTGGGGGTTCAAACCAAAGGAGATGATTCACTCATGGAAATAAGTGCTCAACAGTATCAAAGGAGTTTGACTCTGTGTGCTCCATGAAGATCATTGATCAAACTAGTGAGAAGAGTCATATAGGTTCTTGAGTGGACGACCTATTTGATAAAAGTGTTCAAGATTGAGTCCATTGCTACACAATTGGATAGGTTACAAACTATCTTAATTGTTTCAAGTGTTTTTCCAATCTTTTGGAGTCAATAAAGAGAATTCTACAAGTTTTGAAGTAAATTGGAGTTTTCTACAACTTGAGGGGCGCAAGACCAATATTCCACTTTTGGAAGGGCGTTCAAGACATTTTACTTCAATAATTTGGAGCTGAATTTCGAGATTAGAGTTAGTCTAAGTCTAGGAGTCAATTTTCGAATTTTTATCTAGTTAAATAAGTCATGTGGACTGAATTAAACTAGAGTGTTTTGATTAGGAGTCTTAGATTCCTTCTAGATATTATCCTACTTGAGGATAAGTCATTTAGATAAGGTTTCCTAGATTTTAGATAGAGTCAAAGAGATCAAGTACTCTTCTGCTTTTACTCCTTGTGAGATAAGATTATAGAGTCCTAATTGGTCTTCTTTTTAGTGGTGCTGGCCGAAAATTCAAGCCTATATATAGGAGGCTTGGCCGAATTTCTTAAGCACCCTTGAGTGGTCATTTTTGTTGTCTCTTTTGAGAGTTTTTCCTGTGAAGAATTTTTGTTAAATAGAGTGTCCATTTTTCGTGTCAAGTATGATTAAACCAAGAGGGTTTTCAACTTGTCTTGGATCCTTTTGATCTTGCAGAAACCGTTCTTTTTCAAGTATGCTTCTTGATAGAATTGTTTTAAAACAAAACTTCTTATTTTCATACTACTTCTAGTAGTTCGATTGATGAGCCTTTCCTTTGGCTTGGTGTTCGAATTTCATGATGAGTGTGTTCATGAGATCCATTGTGGGGTTTGTCCTACTTTCGTTGGACTAGTTGTGCTTTGGCATAAGCTTTTTGAGATAGTATATGTGTTGCATATCTTTAGTTGGTTATAAAGATTACTAATTAATAGTATTCCTTCATAGTTGGGGCATTGTTTGCTCCTGCCTGATGAGAATCATGTAGCCTTCCATGGAGGTTCTCCTAGTGAGGGGAATGAGTTAATCCTTCATTCTAGATTTGGAATGCCAAGTTTACTTTGCAGGCCAATCAAGGAAGAAAGGATGGATCTTGACTACCTATGTGATAGGGAGTTGGTTCAAGAGAGCTATGATCAAGGTGATGAGAATGTCATTAACTTTGGGGTGCAAACCAAAGGAGATGAAGACCTCATGGAAATAAGTGCTGAAGAGTATCAAGAGAGTTTGACTCTGTGTGCTCCATGAAGATCATTGATCAAAGCTAGTGAGAAGAGTCATTTAGGTTCATGAGTGGACGGCCTATTTGATCAAAGTGTTCAAGATTGAGTCCATTGCTACACAATTGGATAGGTTGCAAACTATCTTAATTGGTTCAAGTATTTTTCCAATCTTTTGGAGTCAATAAGGTGAATTCTACAAGTTTTGGAGTAAATTGGAGGTTTCTACAACTTAAGGGGCGCAAGACCAATATTCCACTTTTGGAAGGGCGTTCAAGACATTTTACTTCAATAATTTGGAGCTGAATTTCGAGATTAGAGTCATTGTCTAAGTCTAGGAGTCAATTTTTCGAATTTTTATCTAGTTAAATAAGTCATGTGGACTGAATTAAGCTAGAGTGTTTTGATTAGGAGTCTTAGATTCCTTCTAGATATTATCCTACTTGAGGATAAGTGATTTAGATAAGGTTTCCTAGATTTTAGATAGAGTCAAAGAGATCAAGTACTCTTCTACTTTTACTCCTTGTGAGATAAGATTAGAGAGTCCTAATTGGCCTTCTTTTAAGAGGTGCTGGCCGAAAAATTCAAGCCTATATAAAGGAGGCTTGGCCGAATTTTAGAAGCACCCTTGAGTGGTCATTTTTGTTGTCTCTTTTGAGAGTTTTTCCTGTGAGGAATTTTTGTTAAATGGAGTGTCCATTTTTCGTGTCAAGTATGTTTAAACCAAGAGGGTTTTCATCTTGTCTTGGATCTTTTTGATCTTGCAGAAACCATTCTTTTTCAAGTATGCTTCTTGATAGAATTGTTTTAAAACTAAACTTCTTATTTTCATACTACTTCTAGTAGTTCGATTGATGAGCCTTTCCTTTGGCTTGGTGTTCGAATTTCATGATGAGTGTGTTCATGAGATCCATTGTGGGGTTTGTCCTACTTTTGTTGGGATGAGTTGTGCTTTGGCATAAGCATTTTGAGATAGTGTATGTGTTGCATATCTTTGGTTGGTTATGAAGATTACTAATTAATAGTATTCCTTCATAGTTGGGCATTGTTTGCTCCTACCTTTCTTGAGTCTCTTGATAGATGACTGATCGAGTATATTGAATGGTGTCCTTACTAATCTTAGTGTGGGTTGTTGTTTAATTCGAATCTTTCATGGATGATGTGTTCTTTGCTTGGTTTGAGTTAAGAGATAGAATCACTTAGATAAACGATCGTCTTACTGTGAATTTTCCGCACTCTTTTGAGTTTCACGGGATAGACAAAATTATCTTCGTACTTTTTTTTTGATGGTTGCATTAACGAAATTTGCTTCGTCTACGAGATTGCTATCAAACTGTATATGGAGGGTTACAGATTGAAAGACACGCGGATTGAGACTCCAATTGGATGTATGGATGCACAAACCGTACATGTGATGTTAGAGAGCCAAAGGCATGAGGATCGTGCCTCCAATCGGATGTACAGAAGAACAAACTGTACATGTGGGGTTGCAGAGTCAAAGGGATGAGAATTGGGCGTCTTATCAATTATAAGGATGCACAAACAGTATATGTGGGGTTGCGAAGCCAAGGGCATGAGAATTGAGCCTCCAATCGGCTGTACGGATGCGCAAACCGTACGTGTCTGGTTACAGAGTGTAAGGCGTGATTATTGGGTCTCCAATTCGATGTATGGATGCACAAACTGTGCATGTGGGGTTATAGAGCCAAAGGAATGAAGATTAGGCCTCCAATGGGATGTACGGATGCACAATCCGTACATGTGGGGTTATAGAGCCCAAGAATGAGGATTGGGACTCCTATCAACTGCGCGAATGCGAAAACCGTACTTATGGGGTTACAGAGCCAAAGGCATGAGGATTGGGTCTCCAATCGCATGTATGGATGTACAAACAGTACATGTGGTGTTAGAGAGGCAAAGGCATGAAGATTGGGCTTCCAATGGGATGTACGGATGCACAATCTGTACGTGTGGGGTTTCTGAGCCCAAGGGATGAGGATTGGGACTCCAATCAACTGTACGAATGCAAAAACTATACATATGGGGTTACAGAGCCAAAGGCATGTGGATTGGGTCTCCAATCGCATGTACGGATGCACAAAATCGTACATGTGGTGTTAGAGAGGCAAAGGCATGAGGATCCTGCCTCCAATCGGATGTACGGAAGCACAAATTGTACATGTGGGGTTACAGAGTCGAAGGGATGAGGATTGGGCCTCTAAGCAGTTGTAAGGATGCAAAAATCGTATATATGGGGTTACAAAGCCATAGGCATAAGGATTGAGCCTCCAATCGGTTGTACGGATGCGCAAACTGGACGTGTCGGGTTATAGAGCCTCAGGCATGAAGATTGGGCCTCCAATTGGATGTACGGATGCACAAACTTTCCATGTGGGGTTACAGAGCCAAAGGCATGAAGATTTGGCCTCGAATCGTAAATAGGGATGCACAAATCGTACATGTGCGGTTACAGAGCGAAAAGACATGAGGATTGGGACTCCAATCAAATGTACGAATGCACAAACTATTCATGTGGGGTTACAAAGACAAAGGCATACGGATTGGGCCTCCAATTGGATGTGTGGATGCACAAACTTTGCATGTGGGGTTACAGAGCCAAAGGCATGAAGATTGGGCCTCGAAACGAAAATAGGGATGCACAAACCGTACATGTGCGGTTACAGATAGAAAGACATGAGGATTGGGACTCCAATAAAATGTACGAATACAAAAACCGTACATGTGGGGTTACAGAGACAAAGGCATACGGATTGGGCCTCCAATCGGATGTACGGATGCACAAACCGTACATGTGGGGTTAAAGAGCCAAAGGGATGAGGATTGGGACTCCAACCAACTTTACGAATGCACAAACCGTAGAGATGGGGTTACATAGCTAAAGGCATGGGGATTGGGCGTTCAATCGGTTGTTCGGATGCACAAACCATACATGTGGGGTTGTGGCGCCAAAGGCATGAGGATTGGGCCTCCAATCGACTATTTGGATGCACAAACCATAATGTGAGGTTACAGATCAAAAGACAAGAGGATTGGGACTTCAATCGAATGTACAGATGCACAAACTGTACATGTGAGGTCACAGATCGAAAGACATGAGGATTAGGACTCCATTCGACTATGCGGATCCACACAACGTACATGTGGGGTTACACAGCAAAACGCATGAGGATTGGGGTTACAAACCATACATGTGGGGTTACAGAGCCAAAGGCATGAGGATTGGGCCTCCAATCGGATTTATGGATGCAAAAACCGTACATGTGGGGTTATAGAACCAAAGGCATGAGGATTAGGCCTTCAATAAACTGCACGGATACACAAACCATACGTGTGGGGTCATAGAGCCAAAGGCATGAGTATTGGGCCTCCAATCGACTTTACCGATGAACAAATCGTACATGTGGGGTCACAGATCGAAAGACATGATGATTGGGACTCCGATCGAATATACGGATCCACAAACCACACATGTTGAGTTACAGAGCCAAAGGCATGAGGATTGGGCCTCCAATGGGATGTACGGATGCACAAACCGTACATGTGAGGTTATGGAACCAAAGGCATGAGGATTGAGCCTCCAATCGGCTGTTTGGATGCACAAACCATACATGTGGGTTTACAGATCGAAAGACATGAGGATTGGGACATCAATCAAATGTACGTATGCACAAACCGTACATGTGGGGTCACAGATCAAAAGACATGAGGATTCGGACTCCATTTGACTGTGCGGATACACACACCGTACATGTGTGGTTACACAGCCAAATGCATGAGGATTGGGCCTCCAATCGACTGTATGGATACACAAACCATACATGTAGGGTTACAGAGCCAAAGGCATGAGGACTAGGCCTCCAATCAACTGCACGGATACACAAACTATACATGTGCAGTTATAGAGCCAAAGGCATGAGGATTGGGCATCCAATCGATTGTACTGATGCACAAATCGTACATGTGGGGTCACAGATTGAAAGACATGAGGATTGAGACTCCAATCATATGTACGAATGCACAAACCATACATATGGGGTTACAGAGCCAAAGGCATGAGGATTGGTCCACCAATCGGATGTACGGATACACAAACCGTACATGTGGGGTTACAGAGCTAAAGGAATGAGGATTTGGCTTCCAATCAACTCTACGGATGATCAAACCGTACATGTGGAGTTACAAAGCTGAAGACATGAGGATTGGGCCTCCAATCAGATGTACGGATGCACAAACCGTATCTGTGGGGTTACAGATTGAAAGACATGAGGATTGGTGCTCCAATCGACTCTATGAATGCACAAACTATATATGGGGGGTTATAGATTGAAAGACACGTGGATTGAGACTCCAATTGGATGTATGGATGCACAAACCGTACATGTGATGTTAGAGAGCCGAAGGCATGAGGATCGTGCCTCCAATTGGATGTACGGAAGAACAAAAAGTACATGTGGGGTTGTAGAGTCAAACGGATGAGAATTGTGCCTATAATCAATTGAAAGGATGCACAAACAGTATATGTGGGGTAGCAAAGCCAAAGGCATAAGGATTAAGCCTCCATACGGTTGTACGGATGCGCAAACCGTACGTGTCGGGTTACAGAGCCTAAGGCATGATGATTGGGTCTCCAATTGGATATACGGATGCAAAAACTGTGCATGTCGGGTTACAAAGCCAAAGGCATAAAGATTGGGCCTCGAATCGAAAATAGGGATGCACAAACCGTAAATGTGGGGTTACAGATTGAAAGACATAAGGATTGGGACTCCATTCAAATGTACGGATGCACAAACCGTATATACAGGGTTACAGAGACAAAGACATATGGATTGGGCCTCCAATCGGATGTACGGATGTACAAACCGTACATGTGGGGTCAAAGAGCCAAAGGGATGAGGATTGGGACTCCAATCAACTGTACGAATGCACAAACCGTACAAATGGGGTTATAGAGCAAAAAGCATGAGGATTGGGCCTCCAATCAGATGTACGGATGCACAAACCGTA